TCGTGGGGGGTGGGGAAGTGGGGCAGAGCCACTGTCGGGGCGGACGGGCGACCCAAATCCACCCCCGTGCTCAGAGGCCCCCGTGGGGTTGTCGCCTGGCTGACGGAACCCCAAAGCTTGGGTTCTAGGGCTGGCTGCGTAACCAGCACCGTCAGACCAAGAAAATTACCCTGGCGACGTACCCAACCCCTGCGCAAAAGCGGGGCGCAAATAGTTTAGGATACTTTATAAGGGGGCGATGACGGAGCGAGGGTTACATATGTCTGCAGACGGAATTCGGGAGACTCGCAGGACACTGGCTACAGGAAAGGGCTTGATAAAGCTGATGATTTACAATTCCTGAGCACTCCTAGCCACTTCGAAAACGGGGATCACAGCAGGCCTCGAAAGTGGCGACAGGTTCACAGATCGCAGCCCCGCAGGGATGGCGAGGTCTCATTTGAATCTGCCCGTGGCCCTCACTGTGCTGGGCCCCCCAGCAGGCCTCGAAAATGGCGACAGTTTCGCAGATCGCAGCCCCCCAGGGATGGCGAGGTCTAATTTGAATCCGCGCGTGGCCCTCACTGTGCTGGGCCCCCCAGCAGGCCTCGAAAGTGGCGACAGTTTCACAGATCGCAGCCCCCCAGGGAGGGCGAGGTCTAATTTGGATCTGCCGCGATTACCCTCTATGCTGGACCCCCCAGCAGGCCTCGAAAGTGGCGACAGTTTCACAGATCGCAGCCCCCCCCCCCAGGGATGGCGAGGTCTAATTTGAATCTGCCGCGATTACCCTCTATGCTGAGCCCCCCAGCAGGCCTCGAAAGTGGCGACAGTTTCACAGATCGCAGCCCCCCAGGAATGGCGAGGTCTAATTTGGATCTGCCGCGATTACCCTCTATGCTGGACCCCCCAGCAGGCCTCGAAACTGGCGACAGTTTCACAGCCCCCCGCAGGCAAGACAGAAAGAGACAGGAAAGAGGCGGGAGGCGGGAGGAGGAATGACGCGACCACACTGCTCTATTCAAAACGAACACCCAACCAAGGAGGGTTGGGAAAAATTCTGACTCCAGGAGACAACTGTGGGCTGAGGCGAAGCTGCAGCCCTGTGCCGCAGAAGAGTGTGCACCGTTCCTTCCCCCTGAAGCGGGGTGCCTGGCACGCGTGCAGGACCGCACACGCACGCACACACGCACAGTACTCAGTTGGGCCCAGATGTGGCGTTGCACACCTGGCCACAATCCTGTTCCTCCGCCGCCTGTGGCGGGGAGGTGGGAGGGTGGATCTGGGAAGCAGTCAGGGTGGACTAAGGAGCCCAAAGTCCACCCTCGTGCCCAGCGAAGAGGTTGCGCCAAACAGCACTTTGCAGTGAAAAGGACGGCATGCCTGGCCTGGCTGGCGGTGCCCCGAAGCTCGGGCACTAGGGTGGGCTGCGGGACAGCAGCACCGCCAGTCGGGGCAGGAGGAGAAGGAGGAGGAGGACGAGGAGGAGGAAGAGGAGGAGGAGGAGGAGGAGGAGGAGGAGGAGGAGGAGGAGGAGGAGGAGGAGGAGGAGGAGGAGGAGGAGGAGGAGGAGGAGGAAGAAGAGGGGGAGGAGGAGGTGGAGGAAGAGGGGGAGAAAGAAGAGGGGGAGGAGGAGGAGAATGAGGATGAGGATGAGGATGAGGAGGAGGAAGAGGAGGAGGCGGAGGAGGAGGAGGAGGAGGAGGAGGAAAAGGAAGAGGAGGAGGACGGTGTAAGTAAATATGCGGAGTTGAATCTCGATCCAGGGTTCCGCGAAGCATTCCTGGGCTTCAATGATGCTGCGTTCGGCGACTGTGTCGCCGGCGCCCCTCAGACAACTGTGCTTTGCGTGAGTGCCGCCGTCGAGATCGCGGTCATCGAGCGCGACGCCGACCTTCTGTCCAAAGTGGAAGTGCCGAGGCTGTCGAAGGAGGTCGCAGCAGCCATCCTCGAGGAACTCACCACCTGGGTCAAGTGCGCGTGTTTTGAGAGGCGACCGCTCGCGGGCGCCCGATGCGTGATGGCTCCAGGCGTGCGTTCGAGTGAAAGTGCAAAAAGGGACTATACGGCAGGACTGTCCGGGGCATCCGGTGCCGCGCGGCGCTCAGAGGCTTCCGCGACATGGGTGCCGGGGCCCTGGTGACGTTTGCTGGGGCAGCGAAGCGGGCGTCTTGGCGCCTGCTTCCACAGGCAGGTGCTTGGCTGCGAGAGTTTTGAGCAGACCGAGTGCCTGCGCTGCAGGTGGGGCACGGGCTGCAAGGATGCGCCCCGAGCCTTCTTCATGGAGCTCGCCCGGGTCGCGCGCTAACCTGCGTGCAGCTCCGCGCGTGACGTCCCGCAGCTGTGCTGCTGGCGTCTCGGAGCTAGTCATCATGCTGTCCAAGCTTTTTGACGGTCTGAAGATCGCTTGGTACAAGGGGCACGTCGACTGGCTGATCAGCCACATCGAGAGCGCTTTCGGCAGTATTAAGGGTGACTGCGACGACTTCGCCAACTGTGGGGTGCACTTGCACCGCAGTGCCGACGGTTCCGTGACGCTCGACCAGGACGAGTACATCGACGCTCTGGCACCTCTCAGACACGTCGACCTGGTCAAGGCCAAGGCTGACCAGCTAGATGGAGGTCAGCTTCCCGACCTCTTTCTCTTTATCCTGGGAGCAGCGGCTTACGCCCTGCTCGCCCGGCATCGCGTCGCAGCGTGCGTCGTCGCGCTGAAGAGGGCCAGGAACAAGCCGCTCGTCCGACGCGCGATGCAGCTCAACTCCGTTGCTGTGGCCATGCAGAAGATCAATGCAGGTGTCGCCTCTCCATCCATGGAGCGCGTCGGGCTATTCAGTGTGCACAGCGACGGGGCTTTCGGGAGGGGGGGGGGTCGGGGCGTGGCGTGAGGGGGTCGGTGCGCGTGCGTCTCGGCAAGTGCCGCCGCGCCAGCGGACAGGTGTGCCCCCTGCTTGGCGCAGTGAGCCAATCGCGCGAGCTTGTGTGCTGGTCCGCGCTCGGCCCCGATCTGCTTGCAGCGCGCGGCGCGGCGGGCGGTCTGCAGTCGCGCCCCTCCCGCGTTGCGCGAAGCGGCGCGCGCCCCGCCTCTGCCGAGGAGATCAGGGGGCTGATGGGGTGAAGGGGATTGCGCGGTTCTTGCGAACCTCACCATGGACGGCATGTCCGTCTTCGACGCCCTGCTCGTGGACCTGGTCTGGCCGCCGTCCGAGAACAGCGTGGCTGGCCGCCCGTGGTGGTTAGCCGACCAGCTGCGCGGCGGGCGGAGCGACGAGCCTTGGTGCGACGCTCGGGACATGCGGGCCGACCCCATGGCCAAGGGCACCATGGGCCCAGATCTAGTCCTCAGCGTGTCAGCGTGATGGGCGGCCAGATCGGCCATGACCGCGCCGCGGTCAAGTTCCGCGACGAGAAGCTGAAGCAGGCCGCTACGAGCTCGCAGCATAGCTCACTCACGCAGAAATAGGGTGATGGCTCTTGTCGCTGGACCACGAGGCCGCGCGGGGTCGGACGGCGGATATGCTTGCAAGAGCCGCATTGGCCCGCCTGGGGTTTGGGTGCGCGCTCCAGCGCACGCGGTCGTCCACGTGCGAGACTGACGAGTAGAGCGCTCAAGTGGGCGGGATTGCTCGGACTGTCCGGGTAGCTCGCGCCTGCTTCGGGCGGGCTTGCTCGGGCTGTGCCCGGGCGGCTCGCGGTTGCTTTGGCAGCGCTCCTCGATAGTCTCGCACTGCACCAGGTGTGGGGATCGACTGGCCTTCTTCGGCTAGTCCCACGGGCTCCGGCGGGAGTGCTTCCATCCCTTCCACTGGCGCCGTAAAATCTTTCTGCGGTTGGCGCCGTGGGCGGCCAATGTGCCTTGGGATGGAGTGAAGGTGTCCAGCCCTGGGGCCCGTCGAAATCAGGCGAGCCTGCCCGGGATTTTTTTATGAGAAGGGCGGTCAGTAGTGTCCTTGATGTCGCTGTCTGCTAGCCTTTACAAAGCGCGACGCGCTCGCTTGAGCGCCGGACCCGACTGGTATGTCCCCCTGCCTTGCCTGCTGTTCACCTTGTCCTTGCCGCTGGCGTATTAGATCTGCAGGGTCCTTTCATGCGCCCGCTTTGCATCGGGAGTCCTTCTTGCGTCCTGATTTTGAGTCTCCCGTCCCAGAGACAGTCGCCTGGGCCCGCGCGGCGAAACCGCAGGCTCGGGCCTCTGGCCCATCTCCGTTGTCGTCGCTCCTCCTGCCCGCGCGGGGCAGGGGGCGGCGGCCGTCGCACGAGTCCGAGTGGGGCACCATCGGGGCCCGAGCTCCCCCCCTGTCGCCGGCGGCGGCGTGTCGTTGGTTGCATGGCCATTCGGAGGCATTTTGGGGTGGTCGTGGGGCATCTTGGATGCATGCTGGAGGCCATCTTCAATCATTTTCGGTTATCTCGTACCATCTTGGTGGCCGTCTTGGGATATCTAGTCATGTTGGTACCATCTGGGGCCAAGGCGAACCATCTGAGACATTCCTCATCCAGAACCAGAGCGTGAGGTTAATTCGGTCCCGAAGGGGAGCGCGGGGTTCGGAACGGCTAACAGGCTAGACCGTCTTACGCCCAGATGGCTGGTGGCATTCGCTTTCGAACGCCGGCCCCAGGTGGCATTCGCCGTCGTTCCTGCCAAACGAGTCCCCGCGCACCTTTACGGCCCAGGGGCGGACTAGGGGGATGAGGAAGCAGGGAAGGAGGGGGTAGGAGTTGGAAAGGGGAAGGGGGAAGTTAAAAAAGGAGAGGATGATCAGGAGGAAGGGGGTGGAGGGAGGATGAGGAGGACGAGGGGGCGGCGCCCCCTGGTGAGGCCGCTCGAGACCCCGCACCCACAAGGATGCTGATGGCTGATGCCCCTGCCGACGACCACGACGACGAGTAAAATGATGGCGACGGCGACGGCGACGGCGACCATGGCGACTGCGACGGCGACGGCAATGGTGACGGCGACAGTTGCGCCGCGGAGGCGGTGTTGACCGCGTTGGCGGCATTGACGGTCCGCCGGCCCGGAGGACCCCCTCGCACCCACCAGCGATGGCGGGCGGCTGCGCGCTCTTCTGCGCCGTCAACGCCGCCGTCGGCATCCCTTTCCTGGCGCCGCCGCGCCGCCGCTTCAGCTCCTGGACCGCCGTCCTCGTCCTGGTCCTCGTCGTCGGCGGCGTCCTCGTCGGCGTCGTCATCGTCGTCGTGGTCGTCGTCGCGGTCGGTAGATGGTGTTGTCGGCGTCGTCGGTGTCGTCGGACGTCGGCGTCGGCGTCATCCTCGGCGTCGTCGGCATCGGCTCTAGCTGCGGCGCCGGCGACGGCTTCGTCGGCGTCGTGGGCGTCGTGGGCGTCGTTGTCGTCGTCGTCGTCGTCGTCGTCGTCGGACGTCGTCGTCGTCGTCGTCGTCGTCGTCGTCGTTGTGGTCGTTGTCGTCGACGTCGTTGTTGTCGTCGTTGTCGTCGTCGTTGTCGTCCTTGTTTGAGGCTTTGGGAGTCTCACGAGATATTCTAGATGCGTCGCTTAACTCCGCCAGCCCATCCAGAAACGATGCCCAGGCGAGGTGCCCTGGTCAGGGATGTGGGGGAGCATGCAGTGGAATAAGGGGTTGGCTTGAAGAAGTCTTGGGGCGTCTTGGGGGCCTCGCAGCCTCTTGGGTGCCGCTGGGGAGTCTCTTGGGGCATCTTGGGGCCTCCTGGGCGCCTCTTGGGACCCTCTTAGGGCACTCTTGCAAGACTTGACGGCCATCTTGGGGCCATCTTGGAGGACTTCGATCAAAGAAGGGGGGAACCTCAATTAGCGTCTCCCCCTCTAGGAGGCCCAAATTGGCCCCAAACCAGAAAATATAATCAATTCCGAACCATCCTGTGGTGTTGCTCAGAGCCCGTCTTACTGAGAGCCCGTCTACTCATTCAACTTGCTGTACTCTTCTTGTTACTGAAAGAGTCCAGTTCCGATGGCATCCTCCAGCGCAGACGGTGATGCACGTATGCCCGGCGCCCCGCTGAACTTGGAACAAGAGTTCTTGAAAATGATGATCGACCTGGAGTCACCGGTACGTGGACCCAAGAGCACCCGTATGGCGGGTACCCCCCGTGGCATTTTCTTGAAGAGCCAGAACCCATAGGAGAAGGTGGACGCGGGGGAGGACAAGAAACCACACTCCCCCTTCGCTCCCCCTTAACTTCTCTTTTGGATGGGACAAGCACCAAGCAGGAGGATCTCGAAAGATACGTCTGGATGCCTGAGTACCAGTCTGATGAGGAGCTAATCGAGTCATCCACCCGCAAGGCGAACATCCATCAGTGCGACGCGGAGGGCAAGGTCACTTTGGCAAGTATCGCAACGCTTCTGCAGCAGCAGCTTGCCCGAGTGACTTCCGCAGTGGAGGACCTCAGGAACAACTTCCAGAGGATGGACGGCAACCTCACGGACCTCAACGCGAGCATCTCTGAGCGCTTGGACTCCCTCGAGAGCCACATGAGCATGACTGACGTCCGCGTGGAGGAGCCGGAGATCCTCTGCGAAGAGCTGTGCGTCTACCCGAACACCACCCAGAACAGCTATGGCGAATCGTTCGAGAAGAAACCAGGAATGCATTAAGAAGTACATGAACAAACCGCCCGCGGAGCAGACAATTGGCCCGGCGCGCATAAGGAACGATACCGAGGAACGTGCGGTGACAGCAGTCGTCGGCAATTTGGACGGTCTTCCCGACCTCATTGCGGCCACACTTTGGTTGAAGGAGAAGTTGGCGTCTCTCGGGGGCCTCAGCCGGCCAAGATCTACTCCAAGGGAGTCTACAACAGCATTCTCTTCGCCGAGTTCCGGGACCCCGATGTCTGGGACTTCGCTGTTGACCTTCTGCGCCGAGCGGGTTTGAGGTCTGGGAAGAGGCAGGTGTGGGCCAGTCAGGACTGGCCCGCCACCGAACGGGCCGCCAAAAACTGCTGTCTCGGGTTGAAATGGATCTTTAAAAAGGAGTGGGACTTCCCTTACGCGGTCAGCGTGAACGAAGAGGTGCCCTACACGATGAAGGTCGGTGGTGAGATGGCGTTGACTGCGCACTTTTTCGCGGACAGAGTGGAGTACAAGTGGCACGGCGAGTGGGCGAACTGGCGCGAGCTCCACAGCAGCCCGGAGGTCACAGAGCTCCTGTGCAATTCAGACGAATTGGTGGCCAAAGCGACGAAGGGCATGAAGGGGGGGAGCAAAAGCATGCCGAAAGAAGTGGGCAAGTGAGGGCCTGAAGGCGCTGGCTCAGAATAGGGGTCACAGAACACAGTTTCACCATCTTCGAATTCGCCTGCGTGCGGAGTTGGTTGCAGCTTGCATTCAAGCCACAAATCCAATTTTGCACACGGTTTATGGGCATCCGCAATCGGCCATATTGCTATTATGAGCCCAGTTAGGTTGAGAATTGATGTCTGCATGGTTGTACATGCTGAGGCCATGTGTGGCTACGACGGCAATTCTGCAATTGCAGACTAGCATGGTGGACAGCCACAACCTTGCGGTGTCGATGTCGGAATAGGATCGTGGAGTGTGGAGGGTATGATTGAGACGAAAGTGGCTGAGCTTCAACAGCACATGAGCATATTATCGACATCCTCGCCCTCCAGGAGACGCACAATAACGAATATGTGCATAGCGTTACTGACTTTGGGTATCTGCTTAACCTGTCCAGGGACTCGGAATACCAGGGGCCCGCCAGCGTTTTCTTCGTTATCTCGCCTCGACTACGTAGAAGCGTCATTGGCTTCAAGTTGGCGTCGCCCCGGATTGCGCGCGTGAAGCTGAGGGTCAAGGGCGGGAAGGTGCCAGCATTCAGCATTTACGCCCTTCGTGGTGGAAAGTCTTTTGAAGCCAGGCAAGATTGCGACGGCAGTTTGCACGGGGAGTTGCGTGCTGCTTCGGGGAGGGGCCGGGCGTTCATTCTGGGAGATTCCAACGCGAGGCTTCGTAGAAGGTTTGTTTCCGAGGAACAGCATCCAGGTGAATGCGTCTTCGGCGCGCCCACGGCTCAGTACATGACATCCTCCGACCCGAGCCTCCTGCTGGAGCTGTGCGGCAAGGGCGTTTTCATTGGCAGTGACGCCTTCTTCAAGCACCCGCCGGAGCTCCATGTTGCGTACTGCGGCGCTCTTTCTCAACCTGGGGGCCCAGCAATGCCGGATTTTTTGGGTTGGGTACATCGATTTCTTGTTGGGTTGCGAGCTGTGCGCCTCGGAGTTGCAGGGGTGCGGCGTTGGCCTCGCGCCATTTCTTCGCATTAGCCGCGCTTGTCCTGCGATGCCCAAGGTGAGTGGGGGCCGCGTCTTCAGGCTGGATTTGTCTGCCCTCGATTCTGGTCAGAGTGTGTGTGTGTGTGTGAGAGAGAGAGTGCTTCTCCAGGCGCATGGGCAGTGGCAGGGGCGCGGGGCATGCCCTCGACGACCTGAGCTCGGACATTGTCGAGTCGTTCGCCTGTGCGGCCAGCGCTTGCTGGCCGACAGCGTCGGCGACGAAGCGCCGTCCAGGAGTCGGCGATTCCACTCTGCAGTCGATCCAATCGCTAGATCGCGCCCAGACGAAGGGGGGCCGCCCTGCAGAGAGACGCTGGCATGGCCGGATCGAGGCTCGCGTCGAGAGCAACGAGAGTCAATGGCTGGGCGATCGCCTTGCGCATGGCGATTGGAACGAAGCGCGGAAGCTGAGATATAGCAGGTCTGCCGCCCCCGGCCAGATGAGGGAGGCAAGTGGGCGAAGTGTGCGCGGCGACCAGCGGGCGGGTACTTTGGCGGAGTGCTTCGCCGAGGTGCAGTGGGCTGCGCGCCCTGCGGCGGCGGTCGATGAGCCTGATCCTTCGGGCCCCGTGCCCCCAGTCGCTCTGGGGCCCATCGCGGAAGAGGAAGCGTGTTTGGCAGGCCGCGCCCTCAAGCGCAACGGCGCTCCAGGCAAATACTGCGCGCCGGCGGAATCCTGGAGGGCCGCGTGCAGGCAGAGCGCGCCGTCCTGCCAGTGGACGGTGCTATTGTGCAGCCGGTGCTGAACAGATAGTCCGAAGCTTGGCGCGGAGCTGTGGCAACGGCGATGTTCGAGAAAGGCGATGTGGCGGACTGCACCGACCATCGGCCGACGTCTCTCTTATCTATCGGATGCAAGCTGTGCGCTTCGATATTGCTGTCTCGCTTGCAGCGGGCGGGTGCGGAGAACCGACTCATGGGCGCCCAGTTCGGCGCCCGTCCAGCCGCGGGGCGACGGGCGGGTTGTTCGTAGCCTGACGGCTGATCGAAAATGTTTGGGCGCGCGGAACGGGCGATTGATTTTGCTGGCGCTGGATTGGGCGCGCGTGTCCAGGCGACGGTGCGTGTAGGGGCGCCGCCGTAGTTCGCTGCAGCAGTCGAATCAATTTGCGCCAACCGTCGCGTCAGTGTCCGAGAAGCCGGGGGCGCCGCTGTGTCGTGGATGCATGAGTTGAGAATATCTCATGGATGGCCTGTATCACCCTTCCTGTTCTCCATCGTAATGGCCGTTCTGATGCGCGACGCGGAGCGCCGCCTGGCGCGGGCGCGCCTCCGACATCCATGCTTCCCCATCGGTGAGCTAGTGAGCTAGTGTATGGTGACGGCGCTCTTTGAGTCGGCGCAGACGAGGACTGCGCGCGCGAGCTGATGGAGTGCGTGCGTAGGGCCGGGGAGCAATGTGGAGTGGCATTCAGCTGGGGGACATAGGTGTCTTCGTCTGTGGGCTGCCAGACTGCGACGGCGACGCCGGGCGGCAAGGACATCCCAGCAATGGCGGCAGTAGCGGCCCCGAGCTCCGCGGGCGACTAGCCGTGGCCGGCATGGGCTTTGATGCGTTGTGTAGAGTATGGAAGCACGTGAGAATGGGCGTGCAGAACAGGTGCGCATCTTTGAGTCTCGCCTTGTTTTGAAGCTACTATCAGCCGGGTGAGCGACGCTTTCGCGCGGCATGCGTGCAGAGGCCATGCTTTAAGTTCTCTCTTGTCCGACCGCCAACTGCACCCAAGGGTGGCGTTGTCCAGCTCCCGGACGACAGCCCAATCAGGAGACGCATATTTGAGCCCGGCACCGCTGATTTGGCCCGTCTGGGCGGGCGCCGCAAGCGTGGCAGACCAAAGACTTTACTTGGCGAAGGGCCCAGCCATATGCAGCTGTGAGTGCCGCAGTCGTGGCTATCATGTTCGATGAAGCTCCCATATGGGGCCACGATCCTTACGAGGGGTGCGCCGAACTGGGGCGGGGCCGCCATGCGAACTTTCCCACTGGGGCCTTCGGTGGAGCTCCCTATGGGGCCACGATCCTCGTGAGGGGTGCGCCGAACTGGGGCGGGGCCGCCGTGCGAACTTTCCCATTGGGGCCTTCGGTGGGGCTCCCTGTGGGGCCTCGATCCGCCTCGATCCTCGTGAAGGGTGCGCCGGACTGTGGCGTGGAACGCCCTATGGCGAACTTTCCCTTTGGGCCTTCGGTGGAGCTCCCTATGGGGCCGCGATCCTCGTGGGGTGCGCCGAAATGGGGCGGGGCCGCCGTGCGAACTTTCCCAGTGGGGCCTTCGGTGGAGCTCCCTATGGGGCCACGATCCTCGTGAGGGGTGCGCCGAACTGTGGCGTGGAACTCCCCATGGTGCCTCGATCCTCGTGAGGGTGCAGTTCCACCTCCGTGTCGGCGCACCCCTCGCACGCTCGGTGGCCCCGTAAAAGTGCTCCACCGAAGGCCCCAGTGGCAGGGTCCGCATGCAGTTCCACCTCCAATCTGGCGCACCCCTCACATGTTTCGTAGTCCCATGCGGTGTTCCACCGAAGGTCCCAATGGCAGTTCGTTTCGGCGCACCCCTCACACGTTTCGTTGCCGCATAGGGAGCTCCGCCAATGGCCCAAGTGGCAGCGCCCGCACGCGGTTACACCTTGCATTTCGGCACACCCCTCATACGTTTCGTGGCCTCGCATAGGGCTCCACCGACAGCTCCGGTGGCATCGTCCGCATGGCGTACCCGTGTCAATGTTGGCACACCCGTCACAAGCGTCGTGGCCCCTGAGAGAAGCTCACCGAGGACGATAAACGCAAATGTCTAAGCAGCGTCCAAAACGGCTCAAGAAACCTCCGAGATTGCTCCAAGACGGCCCCAAACAGCCCCTGAAAGGGCCCCAGGACGGCCCAAGAGGGCCACAAGACTGCCCAAGAGGCGGCCAAGACGGCCCACGGGGGCCCCAGCAGGGCTTGAGAAGGGCCCAAGAGGGATAACTGAAACTGAAATTTCGAACCCTCCGTCCCAAGAGGGCCCCCAAGGCCGCCAGCAGGCGCCCAAGAACCCCCCAAGAGGCCCCCCAAAGGCCCAAAAGAGCCACCCAGAGGCTCCCAAACTGTCGCCAAAAGGCCGCCAGAATCTTCACCGTGGACTTATTCCCTTTCTGGGGGTCCACGGAATGGCGTAAGCCTCTAGGATAAACCACAACACAATAACAAAAACAACAAGCGAACAAACAACTTGCATGAGCGTGAACGCTAGCGCAAAGAATTTGCCCAGTGATCAAATGCGGTGCATACGCATCCTGCCCTTCGTTCCCGCCCCCATGTCCTCCTCAGGCCTGGGTTCTCGTTCCTCGTCCTTTTGTCGTTGTCCTGTGAATTGTGCCACGTAAGTGAGTCCGAGTTAGCTTTCACAACATATAACGGCGCCTGCACTGTCATTGTCTTGGCAAGTTGGGCCCAATTTACGTTGTCACTTGATGCAAATGGGTTGGCTACGTCACAGGGTAATTTGTTTATGTGTGTGTATATATATACATACATACAAGCCTTCGGTAGTAACACCCAGGTTGACATGAACTTCCGCAGACAACAGACAATCCTCCTCTGCCTCACTACGAGCATGCAGATCGAGCGTTTGAACACATAGTGGACACTTCAATTTCTGAGTGGATTGCGGACGAAGCGTGCTCCGTGCTGCATTATAAAAAGTGGGATCTTCGGGGACTGGCCGATGTACCCCGCCCGAGCCCAGAGCTGCACATCGTCCAGGGTGAGCCAACCGTCGAGCTCGTGGGCAAGTAGTCTTGGGCG